AGTCAGGCGTTGTTTAGATGCATTTTTGGGGACCTCTAAATTTCGGAGTAGGAAAGCAAAATTTCATCTATGCATTCTCTTTAGTAATTGGTACAATATTCTGCTGTGACTCAAATCAAATTTAGGATTTTGGGCTTTTAGACCCCCCCTAATATACAGCCAAATGGTGTGCATCTGTGACTGTATGTCTGCATGGGTTTAACCGTTTGAGGCAATTAGTAATTGTTTATGTCTATCATGAATAACTTTCAAACAAATAACGATATCAGTGCAATTCCAAATGCTCGGGGTAGGTTTTCATGGTCAAGGAATCATATAATCAAGGTCAAGGGAATATAATGTTTTTATGTGGAATGACATATGGGTGAAATTGAGCGGTCGTTCCATTTACAGTCTTTACCATTTCCCATGGAAAGTATTTGAGACTCCAAGATGCTAAATGCTCCACATGTCTACCTGTGTAGCTTTGACACAGTACAACTACGGTTGCTTATGTGCTGAGTATGAGCTATATGCTGCCAGAAATGCCTTTCAGGTATGTCATGTGATCCATTGTTCATATAAACACTTCTGCGCTATGTGCTGTCAAGCAGTGAAGTGTTTCTGTGGATGTACAGTGGGGCAAATAAATATTTGATACACTGCCGATTTTTCAAGTTTTCCCACTTACAGAGAATGGACAGTTCTGTAATTTTCATCGTAGGTACACCTCAACTGTGAGAGACAGAATCTACAAAAAAATTCCAGAAAATCACATTGTTAGATTTTTAAATAATTTATTTCCATTTTATTGCATGAAATAAGTATTTGATCACCTACCAACCAGCAAGAATTCTGGCTCTCACAGACCTGTTAGTTTGTCTTTAAGAAGCCCTCCTATCCTCCATCTCCACTTGGTTGTGGTTTGCTGTTTTGTGAAATATCTTTTTCTGTTTTGGTTATATTTTGTTGTTTTCAAATTTCTTTCTCCCTATACAATGTGATATTTTTGATGGATTTGGATTACATGATGTGAGGCAATATTTAGTAATGAAACAGCTTCATATGCCAGTTTAATATGTTTGCTATACATGATAAGGTAGAATATACATGAAGCACAGGTCTATGTCTTGTTAATATGTCTCATTCTGCACTGCATGTTTTACAAGTTTACCCACTCCTATATTGTCAAATTTTTAAGATGTACTGCTCCTCCTTGCTTATTTACACTTAGGGGGTTGGGAAGACATCAAATGAAAGTAATCAGCAGAATCAATACAAGAAATACCTAAACCTCATGTTGGATCCTTAGATCTTGTACTTGAGTGATAGTGTAGTTACTGTTAGAATACCAATTCGGAATATCTAAATTTATATTATTTTTCTAAATTTCTGGGCTGTATTTTGTCCATTGCCATCCTCTTATAACTAGTACCAACCTGTGGCGGGCAGGGATGATGACAAGTTTCACTGTAATGCTTCTGTAGTGATGAAAACATATTAATCAATATCTTTAACATTTTAATTTGCAAGTAACAAAGAAAAAATTCCAAAAAAATTAACATTTCTTTGAATTTTGTTTTATGTATTTCAACTTTATCGTAGTCCAGCATCAAAGGCTCACACAGCTTAATTCAGTACATTAGTATCTTTCTTAGGTTAGCAAATTCTCTAGCTGTAAAATAATCTACACCGGCTATATTTTCTCTCTATGTGCTGTCGTTATTAAAATATGAATCCACTCTGGGTGCAACTACCATCCTGACAGTACACAGAAATATGCAGTCAGTGGTTTGATTAGCTTGTTTGTCCAAACACTGGTCACTGTTTAGCAGGTCATTCCTGTTGCCAACTTGCACTTCTGTTTGAGATCAAGCCACCTCCATTTTTTTTCAGCATAGAACTCTCTTCATAGTTTTTACACTCATTCTGATATGTCACCTTTTTTACATTAATTGGGCTTAAGGCAGGCAGCAGACCATGATGAGGTAGTTTCTGACACACACACACACACACACACACGCACACACACACACACACACACACACACACCTGTTCTGTACTTCTGCCTTTGTGAGAACACTAACTGTCATAATAAATTCATCAGCCCCTTTCCCTAACCTCACACCCTCAAAGGTGTGCCTCACACTCATTCCTTGTGGGGACTTTACATTGACTTACATTCATTTCCTATAGACTTATCCTAATCTGAACCATAATAACCACTACTTGCCTCACCCTAACCTAACCTTAAACCATGTTGCCACCCTAAAATTCAGTGATTTCCACAAGAAAGGCCAAGTCCCCACATTGTGAGTGTGTTAACAGGCTTCGCTCCAAATAATGTAAGTAATTCAAAGGCACGCACACACACACACACACACACACACACACACACACACACACACACACCAATCAAGATTTTATCATTGTGCCTTCAGTTTGTTATAGCGTACTTGAATAGTATTGCCTTTCTTTCATGCACTGATGCTTCAGTGTGTAATAAATATGTGTAGTAAACCCTATTATATTTTAATGACTGGTGCATTTGTTAGGCATGTTTCTGCATTGTGAGAATTTGCTGCCTTTATCTGTTTGTATAATTTACATCTGCAGAGTGTATGGACTGTTGATCAGACTGGACTAGCAGACTAGAGATGAAAGTGAAGGTTTCACCATGGGTTTATAGGAACTTTGATGTACTTTTTTTTAAAAATCTTCAGCTCTTTTTAATTAAACATAAAGATACTTTGTTAATGGTATAATAACCAACAGACTGAAAATAATCATTAGCTAGTGCTGTATTGAATTAAATTAGTAAACTCTGTTAGAAGTCAGGTGCACTGCCTGTACTGCACCACAGCTGGAAGTGTGTAGGCTATTTGTAGAACTGGTTTCCTGATGTTAGTGTGCTCACATGTCATCACTGGACTTAATCTTATTGTTTTATCACCCCCTATTTCAGCATTTTTATAAGCTATTGCTGTCTTATTATTATGTTCTTTGTATAAACTAATTTTTTCTCATGCTCTTCTGAATCGGAAGTGCCTGCACTCTGTGCGCTTGTGCAATGACTCATGATTCCACATTTTTCTGCTTGATGGCTGGAAATGTAATTCCACAGCCTTGTCTTTGCTCCACCACAAGAAAATTAAATTAATTGCAAATTGTCCTTTTCAGCCTTTTAGCAATAATTGCAGCTGTGTTTTTGCGGCTCCTCTCTGCTATGTGGCCATGTGGTGGAGACTGTGAGCTGCTGCTGCCAGAGATGCTCTATATTTGGGAAGAAGGCTCACTCAGGGAAACAAATGCTTTCCAGCCCAAATAATACATTTATATTTCTAGGAAAGCCTACCTCTGATTATTGTTATATATGTATATGGATATTTATGTATGTAGGTTATATGTGTATTTGAAAACACATTTTGTGTTATGTACATGTTTGTTTGTGTTGTAAATATACAAACTTCTATGTTCTTATTATTATCTCATGTATTTTGTTGTCGTGAAGCACATTGTAACCATGTTTTGAAAACTACTATGAAGTTTATGATTATTATTATAAATAGTATAACTGATTGAAAGAGGCAATTGATAGATCATGTTATCAAAGAAATATTATAATAATTTCCTAAGGGCTCACTGTTTGCAGACATGAATTCATCCAGTAGCACTCCCTGAGATGAAAAATGTAGATCAATATAAATAAATAAAATACGTTACTGTAAACTCATCATTTGATTGATTATTATGTAGTACTACACCATAGTAAGTTTACACATAACTGTTTCATAAAGTATTTATAAGCTTTCGAGTATAGAGCCTGGATTGTTTCACCAGATTATCATAGATTTCCACACAATTCAATAATAAAAAAATTAAATGGGTGCATCACAAGTAAAAATTGAGAAATAACCTTTAAAAAGTTGTTAATTTTAAAAGGATATTTGAAAAGATATTTTTGAAAATGTGTTGACTATTTATCAGAGAACCAGATATTTTCAGATATATTTTTTTAATCTGTTGGACTGAGGACTTAAAACTTGGGGAGTTTCATAGTTATTTAAGCAGTAGAAGTGCTCCAGCTGTATCATACATAGCACTGTTTATGGGAATAATGTGGGACTTTTAAAATGTCCATTAGGAGAGGTTCCCAAAATAGATCCTCCCACTTTGTAATATATAAGCCAGTTAATGATTTTTGCAACTGTGTGTCTGCAAGGGTCTGTCTGGCAAATTCTGTCATCTGTGGGGGTCTTGTATGGAAGTCTGTGTACAGTCCAAAATAAAAAATCAAATGCAAAAGCAAATTTACACATTTTGTGGAAATGAAATACAGTGGATCTGTATTTTTAAAGTTTCACTGTATTTCAAATAAAGTGAGCTGTATGATATCAATAGACCAGGTCTGAAGGAAGAAGTGTTTATTGCTTTTCTGAACTCAAAGCTGGCACAAAATGTCTTTCGACATAGAGGAGTGACTGACCAACCAAAAATAAAATAACAAATGGGGATAATGATTCACACTTTCAGGCAGTCGCTCCATGGTGTTGCACTTGATTGTATCAGCCCCAGGAATTGTGTCCATAATGAACATATACTGGCATGTGCAAAAACAGGCTGTTCTTTTGAAAATGTTGTAATCTGAAATCAAGCTGGTCAGTCAAAGGTCAGTTCAGTTGAAAATCTAAACATTCTTGCCTTACTGTGAATACTTGACATGTTTGTGAGTTTTGAAAAACGGTGAGAAAATTCAAGAGATAA